CTTTCTTCCTTCCTTCCTTCCTTCCTTCCTTCCTTCCTTCCTTCCTTTCTTTCTTTCTTTCTTTCTTTCTTTCTTTCTTTCTTTCTTTCTTTTCCCCAGACAGGGTTTCTCTGTGTAACAGCCTTGACTGTCCTGGAACTCTCTTTGTAGACCAGGCTAGCCTCAAATTCACAGAGATCCCCCTGAGTGCTGGGACTAAAGGCATGTGCCACCACGTCAGCCTTGGAAATGCTTTCTAAGTTGTGGAAAGGTGCAACAGATAAGAGTTAGTTAGACTAAGCTTGATGTTCTAGATGGGAGGTGGAAGTAGGGATGTGTAAAGCTGACCTGTATCACCATGGCTTGCTACTAGTTTTCAATGGTACAGAGAAGAGGGCGGAAGCATGGAGGGCTGGTAACCTGCCAATCATTGACAGGAGTTTATGGAGGCAGAACCATCCCTCCCTCCCTCTAAGCTTCTTTCCCTTCCCCTGTAGAGACAGCAGTCCCTACACGATGGCCTCGGGGAGGAGGACACATGCCCCTTTATGTTTCAACCCAAGGGACAAATATCCCTTCTTTCAATTCCTGAAGACGAAATCTTTGGGAGACAGTAACAAAAAAAAAAGAAAATGCTACTAATAGAAGAGAATGTTAATAGAGAAGCACACCATTGGGCTTTCAGAGAGAGCTCTTTGAGGATTGGTGGTTGTGTTTTGTTGGGCAGAGGTTTAGTCGGCGAGAAGAGTGAGGTAGCTGGTACTTGGAACTCTGGGTACTAAACCTTCTGAACTGTCCTCTGTATGTTCTAGGCTGAGGCCTTCCCTCACCTGAGACAGGAAGACAAGTCAATGAATTCTAGACTGCAACTTACTGTGAAGAGTAGAAAAATGCATGCTAGGCTACAAGTCCACTCAAGATGACGAGACAAGGCAAAGCCATGCTAGATGCTCTCCTGTTCACCATCATGAGCATTGGCATCAACACCACTGAGATGATCTCAGTATCAGGAAAATACAGAGTATAAGCACTGGTGACCCCAGACACTAGTCATTCTGACATAAGAAGCATTCCAGGACCAATGGTGGGAAGCAAACCTACCAGAACTGATTTTTGCTTGTACTATTAGTTTTGTGGTGCTGGGGGTTGAAGGGGGTGACTAAAGTGTTCAAGTGGAACCTCAGTTGGTTCCAGTGAGAAGGCTGTTGGAAATGAAAAGGTAAAAGAACTGAGACACCAAAGTACTGAAGAGGCTGTCAGCACAACTGTTGAATTCATGTATGGAGTTCAAAGACAGTGCAAGGAGCTGGAAAGGACAAGGAAATGACATCGACTGGAAGGTTCGATGACAGCAATCAAGACAAATGGGGCAGAACATATGGATAGAAATAAATCTGTGCAGGATGAAGAGAGAAAACCATCAGGAAGTTCAAGGTCATCTCTAGGAACCCCACTAATGTAGCCTTTTGACCAACCTTCCAAGGGCCGAATGAACCAGATAAACCAAACCAAGGGAAGCCTTTCGGTTGGGAATTACAGGCCTTCCCACCAGGGGGCGCTACCAACACTAAAAAGAAGACCTCCAAGGGAGTACTCGGAGGCTGGAAAAGTGTTTCAGTCTGAGCTCTGAGGACCCCTAGGGCTCTTCTGATATATTACAAGGAGCTTAAAAATCCTGGGACACATCTGCAGTTGCAGTTTTCTTAGTGTGTATAAATAAATATTGGTTTTATTTAAGACAGGGTTCCACTAGCCTAGCCTGACCTTGAACTTGCAGTGATCCTCCTGCCTCAGCTTTCCAAGTATTGGTGTGAGCTACCATGTCTGGTTTTAGCTAGTTTGTAAGCCATAAACGACAGCAAGACCCCTGCATTTCTAAATTCCTTTAACGAAGTCACTGAATCAACAGGCGATTTTAGTTATGTATTTTAACAACAGAAGGAAACCAGTAATACTGCTACTGTCAGGTGGGGCTTGCTGATATTTTCTTCTAGGCAAAAGGGTTCTTCTTCATAACTGAGTGTTTTGAGAGATTATCGGCAGCACTCAGAGTCAAAAAGGTTGTTCCGATTCACTTCTTGTAATCATGATGTTGCAGCAGTGGGGGGGGGAGGGGAAGTGTAGGCTGGAGTCCGAGTTGTAGTGGTGTCATGATAAACATTGCTGTCTTGCCACACACCACAAATGGTTCGAAACATTGCACGTAAGCTTGCCCAGCTTTTCTTACCACAGTCTTTTGAGGTTGCCGCGATCTTTGTCCCCACTTGATGGCTAAGGTCAAGAGAAATTCTTAGGTCACTTGTGCGAAGATGCCTAACTCGTAGACACTCGTGATACAGTGGGGTGGATCTGTTCAGCTGTGCTTTAAGAACACCCACTGGGGGCTGCAGAGGCAGCTCAATGGTTAGGGACACTTCCTGCTCTTGCAGAGGGCCCATCTTCAGTTCTTGGCACTCACATGGACCCTCACCACCATTTGTAACTCCAGTGTCCGGGGTTCCAATGCTCCCTTGTGACTCCCCCCCCCCCCCCCGGGCACTGCACGGCGCACATACATACATCAAGCAAAATATTCACACATGTAAAATAAAGATTTTTTTAAAGTGGAAGAGAACAAGCGTCCTTGAATCTCAATAAGTTTAACTCAAGAGATGGTATCTGTTCTGTGTGGGTGGGCAGGAGGGTTCAACTTACTGTGCTAACTCAAGGATCCAAGTGGATATACATTTCCTGTTGGCATGCATTTTCACTATCATAATCCTTACCCATTATTACCAAGGCAAAAGAGTTTGAAACCCTGGATGCTTCAATTGGATAAAATGATGCGTGCCACTTCTCAAATTTCATTGGCTGAGTCAGTCACATGACACTCCTAACTTCAAGAGGGCAAGGAGCTATGCTTCTAAAATAAGCCTAGAAGCAAGTGAACTAGACTGTCTGGCACCAACATTTATGCCTAGAGATCCTGAGCAAACCATGCCATCTTCTTAGCCTCAGTTTCCCCTTCTACAAATGATAATTTTATAAGGATTCCTCATTGCAAGGATAAAATAGGCATGCTTGTTGTGGTTTCTAGGAGGCAGAATGGCTGCGTTCAACCAGAACTTCCATCAGCTGAGAATCTTGGCTGCACTACAGGCCGCCGGGTAGCTGTCCTTACAGGATGTCAACACAATGGCCTTTGTTCAGACAAAAATACCTGCCAGCCCTTTTATCACACGCACACACACACACTGGAGGTTTTGAACAGGTTTTCCTCTGTGAGCAGACCACAGTTGTAGCGCTAACCCTTGCTGGAAAGCTCAGTCTATAAGCACTAGTTGTCTTGTTCTTGGGAAAGCTGGAGAGATTGTGAGGGTTTCCTTCCTCCAGATTCTCTAAACGCTTTGAATAAAGTCAGGTCAGCAGGCTGGTTTACAGTTCCTCATTTTTAAGTCATAGACACACCCGAGGACGCCTGTTGTGACTCAGGGATGAGATAAGCCACAGAAAACACTCCTTTGCTAACCACAAGTGCTAAGGGTGGTACAGAAAAAAAAAAGGGCAACTCCCCCAAAGCTGTGTTTTGTGTGTCCGTGTGTGAGCAAGCCTGCTTGCACTAGGAGGCCAAAAGGCAACTTCTGGGTATCTCCCTTAACTACTCTCCACTTCAGTTTTTGAGGCAAGGTCTCTCAACTGAAGCTGGAGTTCATGGACTGGCTAGGCTGGCTAGCCAGCAAGCTCCAGGTCCTCCTGTTCTCCACCTCTCCAGACTGGGATTACAGAGGCGGCCCTGGTGGTCATCTTGTTCCTTTTATGCTGGGGAACTCAGGTCTTCATCCCTGTGCAGCAAGTATTTTTACCGACTATGGCATCTCTCCAACATCCTCCTTCCCCCAAAGGAAGCATTTCCTCAAATTTCCATGCAACGTGGCTAAACTTTTTTTCTGACCCCTTTCCTATGGGTCATTTGACTCTTCCTAATCTCCGGATAGACTAGGCTGAACTGTGAACTGAGTGGAAACTATTCTCTTACCGGTTTCTCTACCAAAGATTCTGCCTATCACTTGACATATGACGACTTCCTTGTAGAATCGTATCTATGGCCCTACAATTAGACTAGTTAACTTTGGGCCCTCAGAGCCGGTGCAGCTAAAATAAGGCCAAACGGGGGTGGGGAGGGCACAGGTAGAGAGGAAAAGGAGGACACTTGAAGGCAGAGGGAACAGATGTCCGCGCAGGAAGGCGCAGCAAGCTTGTAACACCGCCTGGGAGGGAAAAAAACATGAGGCAGAGAGGTTGTGGCCAGATACCTCTAGCGGTCTCTGGTCAAAGTCCAGAAGGAAGGCTAGCAGGTTTTTGGTAAGGGACAATGACAGGAAGCTTAAAAGCGGGGTCTGGTGTATCCATCTCTGAAGCTTAGAGCGGGAACGCATGAAAGGCAGGATGGGTGGAGGAGAGACATTGTTTTCTCAATGCTTCCTCTAATTGATGGGCACTAGGATTCCACCGAAGGGATAACTGTACTCCGCCGTGCTCTCCGCCGTCCTCCCCCGGGGGGAGAGCGGGCGGGTGGAGTCCCCGCCTCGCCCCATCACGTGGCCAGAAGCGCCCTTTGCACGTGACCTCCCCTGCGCTAGGCCAATCAGCCTCCGCAGGGGCGGGGACTTCGGGCTAGGGCCTCTTCTCGCGAGCCTTGCCGCCGGCGCTCCTGGACCGCCCACGGCCGCCAGCGGAGGTCTCGCGAGGCTTGGGCGCTGCGGCGGTAGGAGGAGGACGGGGAAGGACGGAGCTCGGCCGCGGCTGCCTCCCTCGCTCACTCCCTCGCGCGCGCGCTCGCCCGCCCCCTCCCTCCCTCCCCTCCCTTCCCCGGCCCCGGCCCCGGCCCATTCGCTGCGCGCTCTCCGGCTCGGGAGGATGTCGGGCTCTTCGCTCCCCAGCGCCCTGGCCCTCTCGCTCTTGCTGGTCTCTGGCTCGCTCCTCCCAGGGCCAGGCGCTGCTCAGAACGGTAAGCCGAGGGGCCGGGGGCGGGCCAGGCGGGGGCGCCGGGCTCCGGCAACCTGAGGGGCCGGGCCCAGGCCTGAGGGGGATGCCGGAGCCGGGAGCGGGCGGCCGGGCTGAGGCGAGGAGGCGCTTGGTCGAGAGTGGAGGCGTCGCTGTGGTGCGAGCGCGGGGCGCTGGAGACAGGTCCGCGGCGTGGGGCTCTTGGCTCCCCAGGAGCTGGAGTAGCGGGGGCGGCTCTGGAGAAGGCGGCGGGAGACGGGCGTTCGAATTCGAGCCGGCGGAGGGGTGTTGGTGGCGAGAGAACCGGGCTCCGCGGGCGCTGACACCCGGGATTCCACCGGGGCCCCGGAACACTAGTGACAGCCTGGAAAATGGGAGGAGGGGGGAGCTGGGGTGAAAAGGATCCTGAAGAACACCTAGCGGGAGCCGACTACTTGAGTCTCTAAGGAGAGGGGTTAGTAAGGGATTCGGGAACCTTGGATTTGGGGGTAGAGGGAAGGTGGGCGGAAAGATGATGGAGTGGGTTGACTGCAGTAGGGGACCTGGGAAAGAGAAGCAGCAGTGTCTCCGAGCGAGCTGGGGGAAGAGGACTGGGTTTTGCCAAAGAGGGTGGAGTGCTGGGCATTCTAGGGTAGCGGCTGGGAAAGCAAAAGGGAGTTTCTAAATAAGGAGAGGAAAATGAGCAGAGAGGATGGGGGGAAAGCATTAAAACTGGGGTAGAGGAAACAGAGAAGTCAAGGGTGCCTGGGTATAGAGGTGGGTGTGGGGGAAGACGAAAAATAAGGGAAGGGAGTAAAATGCAGGAAGTCGGGGGTGTAATGTTGCTTTGCAGCGTGGCGGATACATTAGGGAGGGGATGAGTTGTGGCAAATGCTGTATGATGTTGGTTCGGCCTTTGGGGAGGGCTGGGACACAGTCACATCTGCAGTGGTGGGATTGAGGGCAGTTGAGTGATGGCAGGGAAATGTGGGCTTTTGAGATCTGAAAGTTTCAAGACTGAAAAGGTATTATTTCTGAGGAATATGAATGTGGCCTCTGGGATGTGTTCAAGGTACAGTGGAAGCGAGAATTGGGTTTTGAACTGAAGCTCGTTAGAGAAGATGGTGAAAGATAATGGCATGGGGGAGCTAAACATGACAGATTCCGATTGACAGCATTGTCATAGTTCTGTTGCTGAACTGATCTTTCAGAAACAAACTTAAAAGGATAATGAACTTATTTCAGCTATTGAGGAAACAACTATTAAGAGGTTTAAGGGTTTTTTTTAATATGAAAAAACTATAAGAAGTCGGTTAGGTATAGGGAGCCATAAATTAGTTTTAATCTCTGTATTCTTCGTTGTTAGGCTAAAACAATTGAAATTGCTCTTGTCTGAAATTAAAATGACTTTCATTAAAACAAAATCACTCAGTCAGTGGCGTTGAGTGTTTTGAAGAGAAACTGACCTTAAAATGCTAGAGGTTACAGTGAAAATATATTACAGTATTGAAAAAAATCACTTTAAAGTATCAAATTCTACTAAGGGAATTTTATGCCCTATGGCTTTGTTTCTGCATGGGTCAGAAAGGAAACATTTTTCTGTCTCGTATATTGAATATTCTAAGGATGTGGGCACACCCCACCCCCTTTTCCTTAAGTACAAAGCTGTGGAAGGGAAATGGTAGAGTTAGCCTGATTTGCATTTTTTAATCAATCAGTCATCTGAGTTAAGTCTAATTCCGATTGCAGTTATTTGTGGAAATAGCACAGTTTGATTTTGTCCTATAGGTGAGATTCTTGATCGTAGATGTTTAATCTCTGCTGGCATAAGTTGTTTCCGATGATTTAGAATATGGTAAATTGTAGTTTCTTAGCAACTAAGGCAAGGTTTTTGGATGGGCCTACAAAGACTCATCTGGCTGCTCTTAGTGATAATATGTTCTAAATACAGCATAGTACAGCCTTTCTCTTGAAATGAGCTTGGATTTAGTCACGTGACAAGACTAGTAAAGCGACGATGAGCCCATAGTTGATCCAAATGAATGTAAATTGAATTCAAGAAAGAAATGGTTACTTTTGATTTTATATGGTTAAGGATGCCATTTTAAAGCTTTCTGCAATGTGTCTCAGTGATATTATTCAAGCTTTCTGTTGATAATAGCCCTGCAATAGTCTGATTTCATGTCCTGAAGGTTTTACTTTTTATACAGTGATTCAGAAAGGGATACTATGTTCCATATAATACTGAAATGTTAGACATACATATTATCTATCTAAAATAATGCTTTGGAAAATTAGTGATAGAGTCACTGCTTCTGAATCAAAAATGTGGCAGTTTAGATTAGGCATGTAGAACTTTCTGAAAAGGCTTCTGTTTTCATTATTCCTCAAATGAAGACTTTGGTCTAGATGACCCACAGCTTCTCTTAACTCCAAAAGGAATCGACCCATTACTATAGGGATTCAAGTAGATTTCGTTTTCCATATAAATATTTAGATTTGTAAGACCACAGTTTCAGGTACCCCTCCCCCTTTATGTATCACCCACCAACAATAAAATTTTAAGGCACAAATTTTAAGATATTCCAAAGTGTTAGGTTAAAATTGAATATTAAACCAAGCAGTATAATGTAATCTAGAGCACAGGCTTTGAACACAGATACAGCTGTTTTGGTTTTTTGCTGTATGTGTGTGTGTGTGTGTGTGTGTGTGTGTGTGTGAGAGAGAGAGAGAGAGAGAGAG